TATGAATAAAATCTGTTACCGAGATTCGACTAGGGTTACACCGGTTATAGTCACTTGCATGATTATTATTTTTATTACTAATAAAAACATATTAGTGTAGTTAGTTCGAAATTTCCAATTTGTAGTTAAGTTTACTGTTGTAACTGGACAAAACACTGATATTGTTACTCGTTATAACTTTGCAACTAGAAATAGGATTCTTGATGATGGAAGCGAAAGCAAAACTGATTCCCCTCTGCCAAAGTTTCCTTTCATTACACTACTTGTTACTTGCTATAAATGAAGACAGACACGTCTTGACACAAGGTAAAAGGTAAAATTACAGATGAAGAATTTGTTATTCACTAACAATAGATCCAAGCATTTATCAAACAGTTTAACAAGAAAATTACGCTCAGTTAAATATGATTTGCTTAACTAGCTAGTCGACGAATTTGAATATATTAAACTAGGCGGTAACTGACGTAAATCAATCAGTTTACAACCCTAATAAATTAAAGTACTTCACTTACAAATTTAACCAAACTTTTGAGTTATATATGGGCTCTTTTCTGACATTTACCAAAATAATTTACTAAATTCATATGAAAATAGTCGTTATAAGATTATTTATGAGTTGTTCAATCATCTGTCAATTTGTTTAGGTCAATTCTATTTAATAATGATGTTTATGTTATTTTTTGTTTGGAAGATGTTTACCATTTTAATCATAGTCATATCATTTGCTTGGACGACTAAATATTTATTTAGTTATTCATTTATTAGCTGGTTTTTTACCAAGAAAAATCTGTTAGTTCACTGACGTGGATAAAATGGAGTGACTCAATTTTTTCTAAACATCGTGTTTAACAATACGGAAAAGTAGAAACTATAGATATAAACTGGACTCTTTATTTCTAATTTCATTATATACGATAATATATTGTTTAATCATTATAATAAACAGCTATGACTTGAAAACTCGGTCTTAAAATTAATATGATAAGGATCACAATTATTTTTTTAAATAAACTCAAATATTGTGTTGAGAATAAATCGTTTTGAAGATAGAAATTAATAGAACATTCTTCGTTATGATACAACACTTTAGAGATAAAATTTCCTCCTTTGAAGCAGTAAGTTAATAAATCTATCATATCATCACTGACTACACACAAATATATGGATTAGAGTATTCCTAGAGGTATCAGTACCACGATACCTTATAACTCGCCTATACCCAATCAAAATACATTAATGCAGAACAATGATGAGGAATGGAAATAGAAGCTATTAGCTTTTTAAATCTGTTTAATTAGAATGTTTGATTCTATATTTCATCAATTTTTATAATCATTCACTACTGTATTATTTTGAAAGTTTATTACCTTTTAAAAGACCATAATTATCTAACAATTTGATAAATAATATTAATAGTTTATTATTTTACTTTTCTAAATAATAATAGTTTAATATTCATTTAAGTCATTTATTTGATATTCAGAAGATCCTTGTTCAACAGAACTAATGAAGTCATTTTTCATGAAATAATACGCATTGATACAGATGCCTATATATATACATATCACTCAGTGTTTATGAAGTTTTAAATTATTGTTACAATTCATCGTGAGATTCGCGCGCGAACGCTTAACCTCTAGACCATTGAGCCGGCGTCCAATTAAAGATTTTTATCACCTCAGGTCCTGGGTTCGAATCTCGAGGGGCAGGATCGTGAGTACGCACTGCTGAGGAGTCCCACAATAGGACGAAACGGCCATACAGTGCTTTTAGGTTTTCCATGGTAGTCTAGCTTCAATTGACTCACGATCTTAACCATTAAAATAGTGGTTAGTTAAAAAATTTACAAATGTAACATATCGTCTTTGGTACAATACTAGAAAATTGACAAAAATACATCATAAAAAATGACATGAGAATGGCTTTTGCTATGTATTCATTCATTTCTTAAGTCACTCATGATCTTTGTTTCAAAGTATTCAAATAAACGCACGTACGTCTGATTATATGTCTATGTTCATTATTTTTGTTACTACTGTGATCCTAACCATCTTTCTGAATTAATATATATGTCAGTTTATCTTCATTTCCATCGAATTCATCAACATTTCTAATACAGTTACCTTGACAAGTACATGTGTGACCAGATTGTTCTAACAGTACGGTGAAAATACACCACACTTTTCAGATCAAATCCCTCTATTAATAATACACGTAATTTCAACAGTCTATTTCCCAGCATAGAGGTTTTGCTACGTTATTAAATGTTATTGATATTGATTTTATAGTTTGCCCGTACTTTCGTTTATAAAAGATAATAAAGCTACATTATAGTATGCTTAACAGGTTTGTTTGTAATCTCTTTCGTCGTATGATTTCACACACCCTACGTTGGGTAATTATTACGATGAGTTGTTATTTATGGAATTATATTTCTTTGGTTACCTCAGATACAGCCGTATAAGTTTCTTTGTTTTTGAGTAGAAAAGTTCATCTATTCTAGGAAATAATCAATATTCAGTTGCAAAGTGATGGAGTATTGTAGGTATAAATGTGATAAGCAAAATACACTGAATATGTTTGTAAGATAGATTTAGATAATTGTTGATTAATTAACATCATTCTCATTTAAGGAGCTATATGATATGTATGAAACACTGAGCATATAGAAATTACAGTTGTCTCTGTTTTCTTCAGTAAAGATTTATGAAAATTTAGTGCACTTAAACCTTTATGTTGTCCCAATAATACGCTGAGTAATTTTTAAAAAGATATTTTTTTTATTTAACAGTGACTGAATCATATTTTTTCTAGGATAAGAACAGTTATATTCTCGATGGTATTGTAATAGCTATAAATGCAATAAGCGTACAGAAATATTAAAACCATTGACGTACAATTGGAGTAATCTGTAGCTATGATCAAGGCAATAGACCATTACTTGGCAAAAATTTCGGGCTCTGCATGAAATTGAACGAGATCACCAAGGCTTTTTGTTTATAACTAATTCCGCAAAACCAAGGGAATCAAACACTTCGAGGTAATTTTCAGGCTAAAAATAGATGTTTACAGATTATCGTTAACAAGTGTTCATATCCGACGTTGTTGAGTTTTAGTGATGCTTGAAGAGTTTTACTACCCAATCTAACTGGCCACTAAACAAATGTGACAGACGAAACATAATTACATACCAGAAATAGGTTCCCTAGTAAAATAATCTTAGTATTTACTAAATGGATTTCTAAATATGGTAAAAGTTCAATAAATGATACTCTAGGAAAGATTGATGGTGGCAACAAAGTGGATATTATAAATTTCCATTTGAAATTCGACAGTGTCTTCATTTCTGAATGTACGGGTTTTTAATGTAACGAAGTTGATGTGACGGAACTCGAGCTATGATTATTTGAAAAATGTCAACTCGTCATATATATATAATGTCGATAGAAATAATAATAATTATATCATTTAATAGCAAGATCTAACAGTTATGTCTACAGTTCAATTATTTTCTTGGTGTGTATGGTTATATCGACTATTTAGTAGATACGTTGTTTTACTGAACAGTAAGCATTTGTTGGTAGGTCATTTTAAATTTATATTTTTTACCTAACTGCCATAAAGTATCTAACATGAAACTAGCATCAATTGTATTCACATAAAACCCTGATGATTGATGAATCATCAACTTTTTGTAGTGTGCACACAGTTCATACAAGTACGATAGTAGTCATACACAACCACTTGGAATATTTATGCCAATAAGAATTATACTAAACTTATACTGAATACAATTAATTTATTCTACAATCTACAGTGTTTATTTTTCAAGTGGTTTGTTTATGGAATTTCTTCAAACTGAATAAATTTTCTTAAATTGGACACTTGTGAGGTTTGTCTAACCAAAAGATCAACAATCAGCATAGACAATTTGACACATACGTCCGGCTTTGGTCGTTTAATGGCTATGGCTTCGGCGAATTTGAGGAGAGTGGTATTGGACTATCAACTGCTGATGCTGAAAGATTTTAGCCTATTAATTTGATGCCCTGTGTCACAGAGATGTTTGCAATAGCACTGCTAGAAGCCTTAAATCTCATTGATCTGAGGTCATGCCATTAGGTGACTAAAGCCGGACTTATGTATCCAAAAGGACAGAGTTGAAAGTCAATCCTTATCATGGTGATTTTTTCGCCATCTTATCACATCATTTTTGCAACTTCCTTCTTTTTTATTTGCATCATTTATTTCGAATCTATAGCCTTGTCATGTCTTCTAACTGACTAATTTCAACTCATGTTATTCTTAATTGTTATTAATTTATGTCAAACTACTTCATTGTATAATCAATTAATTATTTGTTACTATGTCTGATGATTCGGAATTTTCCCTCACATATATTTATTTACAACAATGATTATGTTTTCACACTCACTACTTCACCATTATGATACACATCCATTCTTACTGTTACAAGTACGTAAACTTTACAATAATTTCGATTTCAAATATTATAAGTTGCAAGCAGGTGATGAGAACCTAACGAAATAAAATGAATTCATGTTATTCTACCGGGTTCTTCGTTCTTGCTCGTTTCAAGATAATAAAGGGAATTAAATGTATGATAATATTAAGGACAATTCATTAGATTATCCTATGAACAGTTTTGTTACAAGCTAATCACGGACAACTGTAAAACCAGGCGCTTCATTTATTTTGTTGTCCTCCCCCCCGAAAAAAAGAACAATTATCATCTACTGATCTCCAACTCAATATTTTAAATTGATTACGAGTGTATAACTCGTCATTGATACTCTCCACAAGAACGCTAACAACATTTCTCATCACGTTAATTTTTCCAAGTCTTATATATATATATATATATATATATATATATATATATATATATATATATATATATATATATATATATATTCATATATAAATATATATATATATATTTATATATGAAAACGAAAATAGAAACAAGAAAAACGACTAAACGAGAAATAATTCCTAGTAACAAAGATAACAATAACAATTTTTGTAAGTAACAGAATAGAATATCAAGTAGTTGAATTGGTTCATGCAAAAACAAAAATATTATGTAAACGGATTACCTCAAATGTTAAAATTTATGTCAACTAATTTTTTTTCACTTAATGAACAAACCCACCTAAGACTACTTTAGAAGATTTCTTTATTCTCAAGGTGTGTGTGTATGTGAGTAATTTTAAAATGAAAACAAGAAAGAAACAGGTTTGAGTTCAGGAGAAAAAGTGGAGTCAGTTTATATTCAAGAGAAACTCTGAGAAAGGTAGTAGCTGCAAAATTTGACATAAATATTAAACAAAGCATACATTTTTTGAATATATCAATAGGAGATAGTAAGAAAATCAGCAGTTCGATGAAATAACAACAATAACCAAATTAAATGAAGTAAATAGAAAGAAAAAGAACATATATCTCAGTATAGATCACAGTATTGACATACGCATATAAGTATACTTATTTTCATAGGTAAGCACAAAACATTTGACAAGTGGAGAATGTTGTATTACTAGTAGTATATAAGTAACATATATCTGATGATTTCCTATTGATACAATGTATACGATAAACAAAATGATGTCTACGAGCAAATACATAGGAAAGCACATAGGTATATGGTATAACCAGTCAATCAATATCAGTTTCTGTTAAATTTATCAAACAATCAGAGTGAAATAATAAAAAATATATATATTTGACTAGTTTCGCTGAATTTTTAGAGAAGAAAAAGGAAATAGGCTAAATTAATTAAATGTGGTGCATATACAAATGAATTTTGATTACTTCTAAGTCAGTTGACTGTTAGTTATAGATGAACGTGAAGATTGAATAGCATTCAAGTTTCCATTCTGTTGTGATACTTTTTCCTTATTGTTCGATTGGGATAGGGCAACAGCGATAATCATAATTGCAACACATGTCGGACGAGTAGAATGAATGGATGAAATACTGTCTGGTTTGAAGTCGATTGATACTTCATGTTCTTGAGGTTTCAATGAATTCCAATCAAGTGGATATAACGTAGTTACAAACAGCATTCGATTTAAGGCCCTCTGGATATAGGTTTGATCAAGACAAACGCGTTCTATAACACAAGGCCCATCATCATCCATCCAAACATCGTAACAAGCAGGAGGTGCTATTCGACCATGAACTAAAATCAAGATAGGTGCAACTACACGGCTTGGTTGTAACTTTGGATTGCTTAATTCGTTTGGCCAAGAAAATTTTACTGAAGCAGAACACTGACGTACGCTTATCCACTGACAAGGTGACACCAATCCGACTTGGACAAGATCAGCTCGAGTAAGCCACGTTCGTACCAAATTAGTGACACTCATTGATAAACGGGCATGGTGCGCCACAATAAGTTCATGAAGTCTGCGTAAACTGTCTACAGACGGTAAAGCATTACCGGATTTAGAAATCTTGCTATCCATATTATTTAACTGAGAAGAGTCATAGTGATTTCCCATGCTTGAACTTATAAGTGCATTAAAAATGTGGGATTCAGGTAAACTTGGGACATTGAGTCCATTAGGTGGGGAAGGTGAAGGAACGGGAGGAAATTGACTATCCATACTGCGTAGTTTATCTTGGAGTTCTGCAAGAGCAAGATATGACCTATTTATTTGACGATAGTTAATTTTTGAATTTTGTTGTGCAGACAAATGGGCATTTAATAACTTCATGATCAGATTAAGGGCAGTTGTCCCGGGTTCTACCTGCAAAGTTGTACACAGAATTTTTATTCACAATATAATAATGAAAATTTGCAGCACAGCAGCAGATAGAAAAAGTAAAGTAAGTTGTAGAAAACATAACAATGGCACTCAAAATAAAACCAAAAGTTTATTATATTTTCTACTGATTATTAACAGTAATAACAGAACTCGAAAGAGTAAGAGTAATAGTATTCCGACACCAGACAATCGGTTTTAAGCGTTATTTAAGCCCTTACGCTTCAGGCTGAGCTATGTCGCTTACTATCCTACACATGTGTTGTATGCAGTATAAGCCATATGTCTATGTAGAGCTGAAGGTCTCATATGAGGCTGGAGGTTCGCCCTTGGTTTTGTGGATGGTTCGGCATTGCTTTGGCAAGTTTTGCCAACTGTTCATGCACAAAATTGGTTTGCTGGTTAACCGATTTCATTCATACTGGTGGTTGCTTTTCAGTGTTCTCAAGGGCCATTGTCATTCGGACATTCTAAGGCATATCGCCATTGCTAACATTAATGAGTTTGACTGTCGTGTAAGCGGAATAGGTCGACTTTGGCTTGTTCATGATGTGCATAATTGATTCACGCGATCATTGATCGGAATAACTATAAATGTGATGTGAATGTGTGTATGAATGGTGCGAATGGTCCACCAGGGTGCTCGGTACCTGTGTGGTTGCGCCACAGGATTGAGCTGTACTATTCAGATTGTACCATTAAAGCCTATACGGTGTCTGGTTCTCCTGTGAAGCGGGATTGAGCTGTACTGCTCGGGTTATAAAATGTAAGCGTGGGCGGTGTCTGGCTCTCCTGCTAAACTGGATTGAACTGTACTGTTTGGGTTATCACGTGAAAGTCTGGACGGTGTCTGGTTCTCCTGAAAACTAATGTAAAATTACCCTGGCCCACAAGGGTATATTATATAACTATGAACTAACTATAAGATGACAGAAACCCAAACTACTAATATAAAAATCAGGATTAAACGTTTCCTACTCAAAAATCGTCATACTGATAGATCCGAAGTTGACATGAAACTTAAGTTGTGATCGAATTCAAACCAGTGCCATTTGGATTTATGATTTTGTACATTCACTATTTTGAGTATTTTATTATCATATATTTGTTTATTTCCAGGTTTAATGATACCCTTCTTAATCGTTTGATTAATAGTTTTCTTCTTGACCTCATTTTTTGCTGCTTAGAAAAGTGGTCAACAATATAAGTGATGTTAAGAGAACCTGAATTGTGGTAGGATCTAACCCAATGACTGTAACCAATGTTTTTACGGGTATATCTTGAGACATTTGATAAACTAATGTAAACTAATAACGCATACCGTCGACTAAAATAAACTGATGAGAATCATTGACCATACCAGTCTACCAATTACTTTTGAGAGTTAAAAATGTTGTCAAAAGATACTAGCTGCCAGCTTATACTTAAGTGAATGGAGTGGGTTTTAATGAATCAATCAACGGCTGGAAGCCGATTATCTAAACCATTTCTATAATCGCCAAGAAAAGATAGATAGAAAAGTAGTTAAAGTTAGGTAGATAAGCTCGATCAGCAATCGTGAACGGTGATAAGTCAATAAGCCAATAACAGAGAAGTAACGTGATCAGTTTATATTATATATATATATATATATATATATATATATATATATATATATATATATATATATATATATATATATATATATATATAATCACCATATTCCCCTAACGATCAACCTTCTGTATGTTGTTACGATAAGGAACAAAAAGAGTCAAGAAATTTTCGGGAGACCATATACCATATTAATCAGCCATAAGTCTTAACAAGCCTCCTTAAAACTATTGAAATGCTGAATAGGTTTAAAATAAGTGAAAATTTAGACCTAACTAATGCATGAATACCTTAGAATAGACATACCTCGTAAAAGTTAGCACCAGACAAAATAAGCATGTTAGCCATATCAACATCTCCTGCTGCTATCGCTAAACCAAGAGCTGATCGTTGTCGGCGGTTGGGTTCAACACAATTAGGCTTAGCACCTGCATCAAGTAATGCTTGAGCAGCATGTAAACGACCCAAACAAACCGCTAAAGCTAATAATGGCCATTTAGAATTAGGTTCAATAACCTTATTAGGATCCAATCCAGAAGTAAGCAGTCGGTCTAAAACTAAGGGTCTACCTGCACCCCCAGTGATACATGCCAATAACGCATCCTCTTTGAAACGAATATCTTCCTCTAAATCCGGTTTTTTATCACTTTTGCGAGATCCAAACGTCTTTTCTGGTGACAACGAATAAGTACTGCTTTTTTGAGCTTGAGAGCTTTCTGAAAACAAGTTTCTCGAGGGCATAGTGGCGATAAGACTCCATCTTTGGTTATTGATAGCATTTAGGAACTCACCGGGTGTCTGAATGGAGGTTAAGTGATTATAGACACATAAGTGCGGTAGACATCTAAGCTCATGATGAAAGTCGGTTGGTTGTTCACTATGAGTTATTTCATCTTCATTTGAAATATGAGATAGAATCAAATTAAAATAGATATTTACAAGTGTGCGTAGTGATGAAACGCTCCGTTCATATAGTTTATCATACAGATTGTGGGGGTTTCCTGGTTGTTCCACAACATTAAAATTAGAGGTATTTTCTCTCTCAAACGCCCAGAGTGGTTTATTATCTAATGGCTAACAAACAAAAAGAAAAGAAAACTGATTTAATTCAAGGTACAAATGAGTGCTGGCGTAAAACGAACCCGTAAACAACAGATAAATAGCTGTTCCTCATAATTTTTATGACTAGTGATCAAAACAAACAAAAAATGTACAGAGCTTAGTGTTATAAAGTACATGTTTACTTTATATACAAAACGGGTTCGAGTTAAATTGTATGTTTTTATTTACGTCGTTTACTTGAGATTTTTCAGTCTAAGATTTAAACTTACACATTGTAAGGCATTTGAAATCAAACCACCAGATTCAGGGACAAATATAATCGTTAAAAATCCGTAGTAGTTGAATCAACACCAACGGCTAGTGTATATCATTGGAGTACAACCCAAGAAGATATTTGTATACACCAAACTTAATTATTAGTAATTAAATTTCACAGTTAAATTTAACTAAAGTGATTATTTCTATGGCTTATAATATCGTTCACTCAGTATAAAAAAATTTAGAACCTATGAATTGTTGATTCCAAATGATTCATCTCTAATTCAATTTAGAGAAATCTTATGCAAAATAAACAATACTCACATGTGAAGATATTGGAGACAATCCAATATCTACTTTGGATATGGAATCACAGAGATAAAGGTTACAAGATACCCCTTTTGAAGAATTTGGATGAAATTCTGACTGAACAGCCTTGCTATCAAACTTCGAAATAATATCTGACTGATGCGATGGAGAAACATTTGTGGTAACTAAACTTTTGGTTATTTCAGGATGATGATGTTCAGAACCTCCTGCAGAAAACATGGGCTGGCTCTGCTCATCATTATGAAATGTACAGTTGAAGTCTCGAAGGGATTCGTTGGTACCAAAACATGAAAATGATGGTGATACTGGGTCACGTTTCGGAGAACATGTTGAAAAATGCTCCATAGAGGCATCACATTCCAATTCTATCTCTCCTTGAAGGCTGCCATTTCGACTCTGAGTAGATTCATTGCTTACGGAGTTGCTAGCAGACTCAGCAGAGCAGCGCTTGCGGGTTTTAACACGTGAATAAAGGTCATTCGAGCACAGGTCGATTTTTCCATCTCGAATATCGTCGAAATATTTTGTCTTTGAAGCAACTAACTGATGTTTTGGAACATATTCATATCTCCCGCCAGTGCGTGACTTCGTAAAATGCTTACGTTTCACGGATTTATTCAACTGTCGCTCTTCACTAGAGCCTCTCAAGGGATTATGTGAGCTTTGAAGTACTGAGCATGGTGTAGCAGGAGGCGTTGGGACGGAAGCTGGAGAGTTTTCGAAAACTGTGTGACAATCTTTATGTACATCTAAGTTCTTTGAAATTTTACTTTTTGAGCCACTATGGAACTCGGAAATTATATCTAATACATTAGTGAGATTTTTTTCTGGTTCCCAACTATCTGCTTCGGGTGGAAATCCCTCCCAACGCACTTTGTAGTATTTCTGTCCTTTAATAATTCTTTCATCGAGAATACTCTCAACAATGTATACTTTCCCCGAGTTTGTATCAGAACTTTCAAGATTAGAATTTCTTTTGTTGGAGGATTTAGAACCTTTCAAACTTAGATAACGTCTCTGACGGCGCCTGCATACCCGTAGTTGTTTTCGGATCTGTGTGTCACCAACGGATGCCATTCATCACCCAAAGACATAACCTGAAAGTAAAGATGTTGATTATTTTAGTAGGAAAATTTACAGTTTATATGTTCCAGGCAAGATATATAGTTTCCTACCATTTTGAGTTTTTGAGTCTGTAACCCTTAATTTCGAACTGGACCAATAATAAATTGAAAATTGGTTTGTTCACGTTAGTACATGGTCCATTAAAACCAGACTGATAACACAGATGATAATCTGAAGAACAAAAGATCTGTTGTACACTTACAGCAACACTCAACTCGTGACAGAGTAAGTTTAGAATGTGGCAATGGCAATAGTTCATCAATAGATTCAGACTATACTTTACTGGGAGATACAAATCCAGGTGATAAGTTATAACCGATGAGGCTTAAAATATGTAAAAAAATGATCTTTTTTTACTATAACCCTCAACAGATTTAAGACTATTGTTCAGACAATAATAATTATAAACACATCAAAACGAAAAAAATCAAACTGTATGAAATGGCACATATATCTAAAAAAGCAATGCTCTTACACTTTGGAGTACAAAATATGTGACATTAATAAATACAAGAAGACATAAAAACGAAGAATCATGAATGAATAAAGTTAATAGGTTTATTTTCTAAGAACACTTACTAAGAACAAATTACTAAGATAAAGAAAACCTTACGATGAAAGCCTATGATGACTCGTATCACTATACAATACGTGAAGTTGTTACTCAAAGTCATGGATTATGAAGATTTAGAAGCCATGATAAACAGCGACCTCAAAACTACGAGCAACTGAAGGGCTGCTGCTGCCAAAGCCTTCAGAGTATTATAGGTTATTCGTAGGTCTTTTCAGTACTTGGACGAAGGAATGTTTAGAGTATTATACCCGACTTTCGTGAGACTGTATTCGGAATATAGGATTTGAGCAGCGAGTCCTTGTTTCAAGTATGAGACGGATATGTTGGGACGAGTCCAACGACGAGGGACTAAAATTGTAAAAGGTCTCTCTGGCCTATCTTATGAAGACAGATTGAGACACCTCAACTTATTTTAATTATCTTACCACAGATTATGGGGTTATCTAATATTGGCTTATCGTATTCTGAACGACAATCTTGATATTAATATGTCTATTCTTTTCCTTCCGTCTAAGACTCATTATTTTAGAGGGCATTCTACGAAAGTTCAGAAACCGAGACCAAATAGTCTACGTCTGGACTTTCGTTTCTCGCGCCGAGCAGCGAAGTACTACAATTTTCCACCAGAACACATTATATCAGCACCTTCTGTTGGTATATTCAAAACGAGATTGGACCTCGACAGTTACAGATTGCAATGATTAATATAGGTCGATAGGCCTCCTACACTTATTACTGAAGACCGAAAATATCGTATGTTGTCGATGACGTAAGACGCAGCATAAAATTTAGTGTGAATGGTGTTTTGAATGTTGACGACTGCTAATATCTAAAGGAACTCATAACAACTTGAAATTCGGTCAGACTATTGACGTATCTTCCACAGACTCCATAAGGTCAATATGTATGTATATAGCACACCGGGCCCAATGCATTGATTCGAAGTAAAATAAACGACAAAATCCACACACTTGAGAGGTTTCAACATACATACCCAAGTATGTACACATATGAGTGTCGACAAGTCACAAAAGTATTGTTTACGTATAACGATCTCGAGGATGCCTTTCTAAGAACATCAGGAAAAAAACTGATCCTGATGGTAAATACTGAAGAAAAAAATAAATACTCAGAGACTGTATTTTCAAAAGAAGAGGTGGTAGTAGTATCCTTGAGAGTTAATGTAGATGTAATCAATCAGATTAAAAGGATGCTACGATATATTATCAAATCCATATGATTTGAAAAGACGTTAACAGAAAAAATTCCACTATAACTATGAACTGTGAACTATAGTCAAAACACTTACTTCCAGAAATATAGGTCTCAGCACAGAAACTAAAAAAAACGAACAGTGTACGAAAAAGCCGCTAGTGACACTACCGATTAAAAGAGAGAGACATGGTAACTTATATTGTGTTCAAGTTTACAGTAGCAATGAAATTAAGGATTTACTGTCTTATTGTGATTGTTTTTGCCATCATCGTTATGAAAGCTCATGCGTATTGCAGGTTATCGGCTGGAAATATATCACATGCATCTATATAGTTTCACCCTAGGAACATGATAAGGTCATCTCTAATTAAACGGTTGTTACAGCTGAAATAGTTAAATGCTGTGGCGTTCGTGTCATGACAAATGACTCTCAGATGACATGCGTCGAAATGTTGGGCATCATGAGGGGACAGACGCTCCTAGCACTTTGCAAACCAGTCACACAAAACCACTTGAAGGAAAGGCTAAAATTCTTCTGAGCAGAAAACGAGATTTCTCCTCGATTTAGAACTGCCTTTGAAGTGTATTATTTTTTACCTAGAAACCGTGAACATGTTTCAAGGTATCTTTCAAGTGAAATTATTTACCATACTACGTAAGTGCATTAAAATAAAGGAAGTTTCTGACCATTGATTACAGCAACTACTCGTATCACAACCAGGTAATCCGAACCTATTTATATGGCCAAGTTCAGCACTCACAATCTTCATGGACTGGCGCCATATTTAGTCTGGCCATGCCTAATATCCTTATGACCTACCGCTAAACTAACCATCATCGTACATTGAGGTAGTCGGTAGATAAACATACGTAATCCACATTTTAACCATTTCGTTCAGTTATGAATCCCTACCTCGTCAATTGACTTGCTATACCTAACTAGCATTTAACGTGTAACCTCAGAGCGGCTAACTCGATAGTCCAAACACACATGAGCGATGTTACGAAGGAATCTATTGTGAAATAATTGTAATCTACGGATACTTTGTATTTTTGAGAGCCACTTTCAATAGCCATAATGACGAACTGAGCAAACTACTTCTCATTAAACTTGCACTTTTATCGTCAGGCGGCCATCCCACCTACGCCACATGTGACACAATTCAGCTTAAAAAAATTAGACGCTGAATCCGTACTAATATTTTGTCAAACACTGATTGAGGCTGATGAGACTTCATTAGTAAATACAATGGTTGCCGTGCTCATCTACTCCACTCCTTGTTATTTGTTCAACTCTTGATACAAACCAACAATGAAGCAGAGCTTTAGATTTGCAGAAAGTTACACTACAAACACACAAGCTCTGTTGCTTAGAGCGATTAGACAACTGTAGATTCGTTGAGAATAGAAATCATAGTTTTCATTGGTCATCAGCGCTGCTTTCAGTACTCATCAAAGTAAAGGGAAACTTAACTGACAGCTTACGTAGTCACCGGGAAAGCACTTACAATGTTAAATATATACTTAATTTTGTTGTTTTTCTACAAGTGGTTTGAAAATAGCTCTTCAAGAAGACCGTCTTCCCTCTTATAAACTCCATTTCAACTAATCCATTAATTTTACGATTTCTGTCAACTACAGTAGTCTTACTCTCTGAATTTAGTGATTTAACATCGAAGGGTATTAAACTCAGATATGATGTCAATGAATTTGACACCAGTGCCTTGAAAAATGGAAAGGTGGTTGTTGTTTTCTTAAAGCCCAGTCATACAACGTTTCACACGCACCTCGCTGTACTTTAATATCAGAAATTTACTTTCTGTGATTACTTTTCAGTTCATAGACGCCTTTACCATTTCTGTGCAGAGGTCTTAAATTGCTTTTTGATTTCTTGTCCATAATTTAAAGATTTGTTGGAGACCATGTTTTCTTTGCTTGCTTCGCAGTATTCATGACGGTTTGTTTTTAAAGTGGTGTCCAGCTGCACTTTGTATACGATCATATAACCTGTGTCACAGTACATTGAGCTTTCAAACCCCTCAGACAGGGTGAGGCTGGATGAAAAACGAAATTTTCTTAAGGACACCGCTGAGCAACCCGTCGATTCTATGCTGCCATTTGCCAGTTAAAAGCAAGGACTTTTACATCCTCCTCCTAGCTAAAGTCTAATAGTCGTAAAAATGTTCCAGGTATTCACATTTTGATAACGCCTTCACAAGTAACAGCTTTATAATTGAAGTGTACCAAGAAAGTCAAATCAGAAGTCATAGATAAGGGGGTTCGAATATATATTTGGAAAGCTATCGATGTAAGATCCAAACTAAGATTTGGACTGAAGAATAGCTGTCTTGGTGGGTTAGATACGCGCTTTTGCCCGTTTGAAACCAAAACAAAGTAATTGGATAAAATGACGGTTCTGTAATTCATCATAAATTTAAATGTACGTCGTTACCTAAACAAATATGACCACCCAGCTATCCAGCCAATAACTGTTCAATTCATCAAATCTAAATTACAATAAATAAGGAAGTTGATAAAGAATGCGAGAAAAATTACCAATCACAACAAATAAATGTTATCCTATCCTGTCTGGATAGATCGCGCACAGATTCGTTCCAAAGATAATATTTAGTTGCTTTACAACACAGAGTGTTTCCAATTCTGGAAGAGTGCCTCAATTCACAACCAAAATGGACAATTCCAGTCAATACACGAAACACAATCAAAGGGAGGAACTAACCAATATGGTTGCCGCCAAGAATAAGTATCAAGTAAAACAACATTAATGCAGTGCAGGAAGAAACATGGAAACTTAGTGAAGGCGTAAGAAAAATTTGAACAATTTTTTCCTTTAGACAATACAGGTAAACGGACATCCGATAACGCATCACGCAACAAATGTACCCTGGGATTCAAACGAATGTAATAGCTTTTTATTTTCGTCTGATACTTTCTATGGAAAGTAAGGCTTTTGAGTGGCCCTACAGAGTGAAATTTAAGTCTCACGCTGAATACACTGAACCAGGACTCTTAGAATATACATCGCTCACACAACTAGGTTGCTAAGTCACTAGTTACGGAATTCCAACCTAGTTATTCACGTAAAGATAATCTCCTCTTCCTGGCGCTCGTTCTAACTATTTCTATCATAAACTAAGAGTTC